TTATTTTTTAATATTATAGGGTGTTTTTCATTCCATTTTTAAAGTGACACGTTTTCTTTAGCAATCTAAGGAGGAAGAATCAAAAGTCACAGAGTATGGCCATGGAGAAAAATGAGGCCAAGCGTGTTTGACAAAGTCAAATTGTATGGCCATTAAGAAAAATGAGGCTAACGCGTGTTTAACAGGTTACCGAAGAATTCATTATTTTTGTGGATATTTTTATCACTGTAGAGGTAATTATTTTTATGGTAATTGCAATCTATCGTACCACAAAAATGGTAAAAATAATTACAACAAATACTTATAAAAATATCCATAAAATTAATAAATCATCCATAAAAATTATAAATTTTAGATTAGATCGATAGTAAGGTGAGAATCAATCTTAAAGTATTTGATCTATAATAAAGTAGTACGCAGACAGATGACAAAGACGATCTGCCACGTCTCCTACTACAAACAAATTACTAGCTAGCACAAAAAGTCTTGGTCAGTAAAGACCAGCTATCCCTGTAATGAGGTCTCCCAGGGCCCAACTAAATTTTCCGCGTTATGAAGGAATTGGCCGTATAGAATGTGATATCTACCAAATTGCACCGTCTTTCGAAGACTTTCAAGTTTATTTATAAGATTGTGGTACTAAAATTTATAAAAAAAAATTGGTGCCGTATCATCAATTATCACTTTTATAATTATTTTTATTACTTTTGTGTGATTTTATCACTTTTATTGTAACTTTTTTTTTAATAAAATAATTCATAAAGTGATAAAATTTACAAATTGACCAAACTAAATTAAGCATTTCTTTTGCGTTTCCTATTCTTTACTTCCTCATACTTCTGCACTGCACCAGACTCAATAAGATAGTCTAAATTTTTTAGATTTGACTTCATGATAATCTTTAGTGAGCACTTGGTGCACTTGAAATAGAATCTAAATATCTTGATTTCTAAGTATGTCTGGTCAATTACTTTTTCTTTACACGAATTAAACTTGGTCATTTGTAGATATTGGTTGATTCACACGTGCGCGTGTTGCACGTGTACCATTTTTATAGAATTGATTTCACGTGAGTCTTCATTACATATAATTCTTATTTTTTTTCTTCATAGACTTTTAATTTTTTCAAATATTCTCCAACTATTTTCCAAAATCAATAACAAAACTCACTCTACACTTTCATAGATGTGTTGCACTTTGCAAAGCAGATCTGTATTTTAATGGCTAATTTCCGGTGTTTGTCAAATACACAAGATTCAAAAAAAAAATTATAAGATTGTCAAAACAATAGCACAATTCTAAATTATACACATGATAAAACGGAATATTTTGACTTCTTTTTCAAGGGTGTATAGTTAGTAAATTTTGGCTTCCTATTTGGAACAATTTTGTCCTTGTCTCCACTAGATTTGTTGGTTTTAAAACTCTCCCAACAATTTATTTTCATGGTTGTTTAGATATTTATTAACATTCTAAGGTAAAATTTCAAGATATAAGAGCCTATGGTTGGTTCTATTATATGAATCAAAGATAAAATTGAAAATAAAATTTGCAAAATGAACTTATATTTGAATCATTTCGAATTGTAATTTGAGTTTTAATTGCTTTTATTTTGTACCATGTGTGAATTCCATACTTGTTATCATTAAGCAAAGACAACCTTATATACTTTAGCATTTACATATTCCCTTATAAGCCTATTCAATCGTTTTCTCCTATATAGAGAGTATTAGCAAAAATCCATACATGTCTTACATTAATAATGTTCATGAATTCTATATCTAAAACATCATTTTATATTATCTTTCATATAAAGCATTGTCTCTACCATGTGCTGAACTACAAAATTTAGAAAGTAAAATTAAAAAGATGAAGTTAAAGGTATTCAAAGTGGTGCCCTTCGGAAACTAACGTAAAAGAATAAGAGTAATCTTATTTATTCCTAAAAATATGACCTAATTTACTGATCTAAAGATGTGACTTTAGTGAAACTATTGAATAATACCAAATTCTGACTATCGAATTTATATAAAAAAAAATTAATTTTCACAAAATGAATTGGAGGAACTGACATGAACGGAAGCAAGTACCAATTTGGTGTTAGCTCAACGAAATCAATCTGGCAAAGACCTGGAGAAAGTAGCCTACCCTATCTTATAGCCACTATCTTGCTTATTCATTGCCCTCACTGAAGGTCACTCAATGTAAAAATTCTTTTTAATCAGTACCGATTGCCAAAATCTTGCTTGGGAAGAACAATATGGTCCAAGTACCCTTTCGATCCACCATGTCTACCTCCTCTCCATACATGGCCGCCTCGATCAAAACCTCTTCCACCATCATCTACACAAATGTTGAAAGCATAACCAGCCAGGTATAAAGTCAAATATCAATAATTTTTGTGTTCTATCCTCCATTTCCATGCAGTTGTGGGTTATTAATAATAAGGAGAGTATTTGTGATCTCATTTGCTATATCCAACTTCAATCAACATTTGATTATGAATTTGGAAGAACACCGTAACATAAGAACTACTACATTCCTGGCGCCAAAACACATCCCAACGTAAGTGGGTAGCTTATAACTATTTTCAAACCTTGTCTCTGTATAAACAACAACATATAGGAAAGAAATGTTGAGCAGATTCTTTCATCACAAAATCAGTCATGTCATATCCTAGATTAACAAACTAAAATGCATCAAAGATCAAAGAAGTCTAAAATCTTCATAAGCAATTAATATATAAAAACCAGAAGTGAGGGCTATCTACTTTCCCGCAGCATGCTTCAAGTCGCATAGAAGAACCCATCTGGTCGGCCAAAAACATTTAAGACGCATGATCTTATGCGAGAACTTGCTCTTTTAATTTCAGAAATAGAAAATTTTCGCTTCCTATGATGGACAAAGATGAAAAGAAGAGAGGTTAGCCCACCGCCTGTCGACGCAAACAAATCAATAACAGCAAGGAACAATGGTCGTTGTCCAGCATAAGCACCGCCTAGATATCCAAACCCCTGTGTAATTGAAAGCACAAGACTTTAAATTAATCCAAAAAAAAATTAATTAGGGGGCGACTGAGAAACCATCATCACATGGTAGATGTTTGTATTGGACTCCTGTAAAAAACAGAAGAAAGTATTTGGTTATGTACTTCATGAATCCTGATAGAAGGCATTGCATACACCTATATAGATCAGAAAAATAAAGAAATTGATAGGACCCCAAAACCATTTAATCCAAAGGACGAAAATGAAAGCAGCGACCAATGTTGTTCAAACATACAAAGCTTCCTAACTATAACTTCAGAAACTCAATAGGACTTTTTCTTGTTCCCAAAACAAACTTGAGATGTAGCTTCCCAAAAATCAAGCTAAGATACAACCCAAGTGGCTTCTTTATTCACTGTAATTCAACTCCTTGAGATCAGCATTAACCATCAAATGAAAAAGCACTCCAGACAAAATCAGTGGGTGAAGAGAATGAATGCCTTTGCTGCACAGAATCATATCAATATGACAATATCTCAATTAATAATGTACAAAGTGTTTTTAATGTCAGCAGGCTCATAATTAATTTGTAACTGGAGATGCAATCAAGGAAAACGTATTTAGATCAACTTGATGACACAGCTAGTGCTTCTTCTCCTTTTTTTTTAAAGAATCCCATCATGATCCAAATAAAATATCACATCATGGTGGGCGATAGTAGTGGTGGTAGGAGACGAGGATAGTTGTGGTGGGCGGCAATGACCACGGTGGCGGCGAGGATGGTGGTGGTGGCAGTAGCAGCCGTGATGGTGGTGGTGGTGGCAACAACGACTACGATGATGGTGGCGACGGCGACGACGGTGGTAGCGGCGGTGGTAATGGCAGTGGTGGTGGTTGTAGAGGTAGTGGTGGAACAGTTTCAAACACTATTTTTTTTTAAAGTATTTATGAGAAATAATTTTTAGAATTACTTTTAAAGAGTCATTTCAAATACACCTGTAGGGCTTATTTTTCCTATTAAATTTAGAGTGCTAATATTAGCTGTTAGATTAAAGTTAAAATAAAATTCAAAGCGATCTCAACCGCGAATAGTAAAAGTCATTTTGTTTATCTTTTGAGATTTGAATTATAACCTATTTTATTATATAAACAAGTTATTGTCTGTGCCTTCAAGCACAGAGTAATAAAAAAATGATAAACAATAAACATATTTGTATTCATATCCAAAATCAAATCACAAATATAGAAGAAGGATAAATGAATTTAAGCATTGGTTATAGTGGGAATGAGCGGTGGTGAGCGGCAGTGGCTGTGGTAGGAGACGGTGATGGTTTTGGTGGGTGACAATGACTGTGGTGGCGTACGGTGATGGCGGTGGTGATGACAACGACGACGACGACGACAGTGGTGGTGGTGGCTGGAGTGGTTGCGGCGACAACGGTGGCGGTGGTGGTGGTGATAGTGGTGGCGGCGACAATGGTGGCAGTGACGATGGCGGAAATAGTGATGTGACGATTTCAAACACTATTTTTATTATAAGAAATAATTTTTAAAAATATTTTTAAAAAGTCACTTCAAACACACCCTGGAAGGACCTATTTTTCCTATTAAATTTAGGGTACTAGTATTAGTCATTAAATTAATTTTAAAATAAAATTTAAAACGTTTTCAACTGTGAATAACAAAAGTTATTTTTTTTATTTTTGAAATTTGAATTGTAAGTTACTTTATTATATAGATAGATATATAAAACAATATATTTTCATAATTATCACACATGCATATTAGGGATTATAATAACAGATATCAATTGATTAAGTGGTCTTAATTACTCATTTATCCAGTGTTTTATTAACAGTGATAACCAACGTTACTCTCGATTATTATTTCCTAAAACTTGCTTAAGAGTGAGACAACTTAGAGAGAGAGAGAGAGAGCCTTGAGCTTGAAGAACAAGTAGTAGTAGTAGTAAATCACCAATGTTTTCTCTGCATCTCAACTAATCACCCAAAAATGTCTTCTTGGCTCTCGTTCTCTCTCCCTAACCCTTTCCAATCCGACAATCAAAACCCCTCGTCCCCACCGGAAGACACTAAACCTCTCTCACCCAATCACAACCCACCTCCTCACTCCTCCGGCGTGAAGGACGACCTCTCCGTCCTCTCCCAAACCCTCACCCACCACCTCCGCGGCGTCGCCGCCTTCCTCGCACCCCCTCCTCCCTCACATTCCACCACCGCCGCCTCAGATGATGAAAAGGTGTCGTCTTCGCAAACGATTCTCGGAATTAAAAGCGATTTAGTTGAAATTGGGGGTAGTTTCAAGACGGGTCTTTCGGTCCTGTCTTCGAATAAGGCTGTGTCTGAGATCTCTCGGTTCGCTTCCAGCTTTTTACCGTTCCAAAACGCAGGCGATGAGGCTGAAAGCGACGAAGACGATGACATGGTTGGAATTGCTGATGAAGTTGTGGACTTTGTAATGCAAATTTCATTGCGGCCTGAGTGTTGGACCGATTTCCCTTTGTCACTACCCAATGGTAATTTTTATTTTTTCTTAATTATATGCATATTTATAATTACTTTCTCATGCCAATTGAATTTAGTCAATTCACTATGTATACAAGTGTGAATCGTCTTGCTTCTACAACTTTACCAGTTTTTGTGCTTTAATTATGGTCTGATTAATATGGGGGGCAGTGTACAATCCTACATTGGGAAAGTAGTTTTGATGAGGTTGTCCTTTAGATTTTTACCTATAAGCTTGTGATTATCTCGAGAATGGCACGACCTTTGTCATGGGAGACTAACTAATGCAACATTTGGTGGTTATGGACTGATTCAACAGTGTTGTGGAGTCTTAAAATACTCTTAAGGCTCTTATTATTTAGTGATTGTAAATTCCATATACCCTTCACAATGAGTCTGCTATACTTGATTGTATTTTAGGACTACACATTGCTTGTCCATTTATCATGTCTTGAAATGGTGTCATTACTTTGCGGCAAAACCTCATTTATTTTGACTTGAAAAAAGGGTCAAAACTAAAATATTTTAAGGTTACTAAAGGCCTCAGTTCAAGTGGTAGATGTAACAACCTTTTACATTAGATGTAACAACCTTTTACATTAGTTGTACAATGATGTCATAGGTAACTTGATCATAACCTTGATCAACTGGCTTTTCTCTTTAGGATTCCCTTGCCCAAGTTCTTGTCCTCACCCCTGCCACTCTCATCCCTAGCATGCTGCATGTAGACACATTCCCTAAACTGATCATTTGTCTTCATAGTGGTTCTTGAACAGTATTTGCAAAAGATTCTTGATGGTAGACCTTCCAATCTGGTACCTCCAACCCAAAGCTGCTCCTTTCTCCATTTTTTTGGTAACTAATAACATCATCATAATACAACAGAAAAGAAACAAAATAAAATAATGAGTCGTTTAGAGGTTTTTTGTTAATGGCAGTGTCAGATTGTGTTCTTGATTGTAGCGAATTAATCATATGTAAGTTTTGTGGTTATTGATTTAGTGAATTGGCAATGCTTTGCAGTTATTGACTAGTGAATTGGGAATTCAAGTATTCCATGCAAGCCCTTATGTTTTTTGCAAGTTTGTGCACGTGTTACTATTTAGACCCAAAATGTAATTTCATGAGATCATGACACGTGGCATGACAAATCTAAGTGGTCATAATGTATTTTGGCCTTAAAGCCAAAGAACAAAGAAGCATGAGGCAATAGAAAAAAGGTCGAGCACAACTAAGTAGAAAGCTCGTCCAATGAACGAAACGTAGACATCAGGGGGATACATGGACACTTCAACAGAATAGCCAGATAATGGATAGAGAATACAGAAAAACTTGGCTAGGGGCGAAGCCACACAGGCATATGCGGAGGCAACTATCACTGCTCAAATTTTTTTTTTTCCAAAATGATTTTATATAGATTTTAACATATTCTAAGTTTGCCCTCACAAAAATACTCCCGTACATTGTAATCTACTTAATAATCATTTTTTACATTTGGATTTTTATAGTATGAAAACTAGTCAGGAAAAATTATAGATTTAATATTGCTCCATTGCGACCTAGATGACAAGGATTCAACTTGCAGAAATATCCTTTCACCTTTTGGGATAAGTCTGAGTACAATTGATCTTTCCTAGACTTTATAGTAGCGGGAGTCCAGGCATTGGGCCACGTATATGAGTATCTAATGAAATGTCATTATTGAATTAGTGGTGGGTCTCAACATTGAGTACATTCTATTTGCTAATCAAACCATAGCAATGCATTAAGCATCTAAATTAGGCCCCTAAATNTGGAGATCAAGCACCAAGAGATTCTTGCTTAGCTTCCTCAAACATCGTGTAATAACCCCACTTAAGTTGTTACGAGACAAGTTGAGAACTTCAAGAGATTGTGCATAGCAAGAGGTTGNCAAGCACCAAGAGATTCTTGCTTAGCTTCCTCAAACATCGTGTAATAACCCCACTTAAGTTGTTACGAGACAAGTTGAGAACTTCAAGAGATTGTGCATAGCAAGAGGTTGTGCCACTCAAGTTATTTGACGAAAGATCAAGATAAGTGAGGTTTTGAAGTTGAAAAATTGAATTAGGAATGTTACCATGCAACTTGTTAGAACTCAAAACCATGTGGACCAGGGAATTGGCTTGGAATTCGTATATGGATCCAGTGAGTTTGTTATGACTGAGGTCCAAGGAAACTAATGCAGGTAGGTTAAACACCCAAGATGGAATTGTCCCATTGATCAAGTTGGCACGTAGGCTGAGTCTCTCCAAACTTGGAAACCCACTAACAAGTGAAGGTAGAGTTCCTGATAGTTGATTACCTTCGGTGACTAGAATACCGAGTTTGGTTGCGTTTGAAAATGATTTGATAGACCCACTAAACTTATTATTATTGAGATTTATGACCTCAAGATTTTTTAGATTTAGAAAAACACTTTCGATTGAGCCTTCGAAATTGTTGTCTTCCAAATGTAAAGAAGTGAGCTGCTCAAGGTTTGAAAGTGAAGATGGGACCTTTCCAATGAAGTTGTTAGTGGAGAGGTCCAATGAAATGATTTGGGTAAGGTTGCCAAGTGATGCTGGAATGTGTCCTGAGAATCTGCATCCATAGAGAAACAAAGAATGTAGGGATTTGAGATCGCCAATTGAATCAGGTAGTTCGCCAAAAAAATTTGTGTGCCCAACGTTCAAGAATTGAAGGGGGCTGCTCGAGTTAAATTTTGAAAAATCACTGGTCAAAACCTCATTATCTTCTAATTGCAACTTCTTGAGATTTGGCAGATGAAATAACTTATCAGGAACTTCTCCCATCAATCTACAATTAAAAAGACTAAGGAATGTTAAAGATGTCAGATTCAATAAGGAAGTGGGTATTACCGAAGATATGTTTACTCCACCAAGATCAAGTTCTCTCAGTTTGGTCAAGTTTTGCACAAGTAATTTNTTAAAAAGACTAAGGAATGTTAAAGATGTCAGATTCAATAAGGAAGTGGGTATTACCGAAGATATGTTTACTCCACCAAGATTAAGTTCTCTCAGTTTGGTCAAGTTTTGCACAAGTAATTCGAAACCAGTTTTCCCCAATCTCAACTGACTATTATTCAATGAGAAATCAAGTGAAACCAAATTAGATAGTTTCAAAATTTCTAACGGGATTTGACCAGAGAAGCTAGAGGAAGAGAGGTTCAAATATGTCAATTTGGAAAACCGATCAAACGAAGGTGGAAATGGAGACAAATCGAAGTTGTTGTAAGCAAGGTTGAGCCTTTGAATGTGAGGAAGGAGAAAGAGGGTGCTATTGGGATAGATTGTCCCATATAACCAGCTGCAGCTGAGGTCGAGGCCTATTACATTACCAGTCCACCGATCACACTCGACCCCGTCCCACGAGCAACAATCAGTCTCGTTCTTCCAAGATTTGAGTTTTGGAAAAGAAGGAATTGCACTATGCAATTCACAAGACGATGAAGCAGATGCATTGAAAGAAAAATGTTTTTTAAACTGAAGCAATGCAAAACTCTGGTCTTTGTGGCACAGTTGTGCATGGGTCAAAGGAGTTTGGAGGAAGAAGAGAATGAAGAAGAAGAGGTGAAAGAGTTTCGTGGGAAGGAGCCATATTGAAAAACCCATATTAATTTCCTAGTAAAATTATTAGGAGATTTTCATACAGACTGCCAATTAACTGAAACAAAGGCAAATGATATACATATAGAAAAATATTNATGCAAAACTCTGGTCTTTGTGGCACAGTTGTGCATGGGTCAAAGGAGTTTGGAGGAAGAAGAGAATGAAGAAGAAGAGGTGAAAGAGTTTCTTGGGAAGGAGCCATATTGAAAAACCCATCTTAATTTCCTATTAAAATTATTAGGAGATTTTCATACAGATTGCCAATTAACTGAAACAAAGGCAAATGATATACATATAGAAAAATATTGGAAGACAATTTCCTGTCAACTACGGTGAAATTATAGTAGGTAGCACAAAAAGTTTTGGTTTGCTAAAAGTCTTCATGGAATAGTCGGGGAACGACCACACTATTACTTCCTTTACAATTCCATAAGAGTTAATTATAATTCAAATGGAGTCAAGTTATCACTCAAAAATAATAATTACAAGTTCATTGAAGTTAAGTTAAGATTCATCAAAATATTTTAAAATAGATGCCATTTTGTTGTATAGCCACAGTTGATTAAACCTTTAATCGTGATTTATAAAATTATAAGTTTTGTTATAGTAACATTTTATAAATCTTTGATGTCTTAGTTTTTTCATCCCCTACCAAGCCCAGAGGAATATGTGCGTGTTTGAGACGTTATGGAGGAATTGAAAACCATAAGATGATAGTGTATGGGCCTANCAAATGGAGTCAAGTTATCACTCAAAAATAATAATTACAATTTCATTGAAGTTAAGTTAAGATTCATCAAAATATTTTAAAATAGATGCCATTTTGTTGTATAGCCACAGTTGATTAAACCTTTAATCGTGATTTATAAAATTATAAGTTTTGTTATAGTAACATTTTATAAATCTTTGATGTCTTAGTTTTTTCATCCCCCACCAAGCCCAGAGGAATATGTGCGTGTTTGAGACGTTATGGAGGAATTGAAAACCATAAGATGATAGTGTCTGGGCCTTGATATGAATCCCGAGTTTAAAAATCACTGTTATCGGACTATTTTATTTAAACTCACCCTTCCAAACCCCTCAAATAAAATTTATAGTCATCGATCAAGAAAATAATTAATCCCTGTTATGTGTAAATTATGACATCAAAAATTTATTTTTTAATATTATAGGGTGTTTTTCATTCCATTTTTAAAGTGACACGTTTTCTTTAGCAATCTAAGGAGGAAGAATCAAAAGTCACAGAGTATGGCCATGGAGAAAAATGAGGCCAAGCGTGTTTGACAAAGTCAAATTGTATGGCCATTAAGAAAAATGAGGCTAACGCGTGTTTAACAGGTTACCGAAGAATTCATTATTTTTGTGGATATTTTTATCACTGTAGAGGTAATTATTTTTATGGTAATTGCAATCTATCGTACCACAAAAATGGTAAAAATAATTACAACAAATACTTATAAAAATATCCATAAAATTAATAAATCATCCATAAAAATTATAAATTTTAGATTAGATCGATAGTAAGGTGAGAATCAATCTTAAAGTATTTGATCTATAATAAAGTAGTACGCAGACAGATGACAAAGACGATCTGCCATGTCTCCTACTACAAACAAATTACTAGCTAGCACAAAAAGTCTTGGTCAGTAAAGACCAGCTATCCCTGTAATGAGGTCTCCCAGGGCCCAACTAAATTTTCCGCGTTATGAAGGAATTGGCCGTATAGAATGTGATATCTACCAAATTGCACCGTCTTTCGAAGACTTTCAAGTTTATTTATAAGATTGTGGTACTAAAATTTATAAAAAAAAATTGGTGCCGTATCATCAATTATCACTTTTATAATTATTTTTATTACTTTTGTGTGATTTTATCACTTTTATTGTAACTTTTTTTTTAATAAAATAATTCATAAAGTGATAAAATTTACAAATTGACCAAACTAAATTAAGCATTTCTTTTGCGTTTCCTATTCTTTACTTCCTCATACTTCTGCACTGCACCAGACTCAATAAGATAGTCTAAATTTTTTAGATTTGACTTCATGATAATCTTTAGTGAGCACTTGGTGCACTTGAAATAGAATCTAAATATCTTGATTTCTAAGTATGTCTGGTCAATTACTTTTTCTTTACACGAATTAAACTTGGTCATTTGTAGATATTGGTTGATTCACACGTGCGCGTGTTGCACGTGTACCATTTTTATAGAATTGATTTCACGTGAGTCTTCATTACATATAATTCTTATTTTTTTTCTTCATAGACTTTTAATTTTTTCAAATATTCTCCAACTATTTTCCAAAATCAATAACAAAACTCACTCTACACTTTCATAGATGTGTTGCACTTTGCAAAGCAGATCTGTATTTTAATGGCTAATTTCCGGTGTTTGTCAAATACACAAGATTCAAAAAAAAAATTATAAGATTGTCAAAACAATAGCACAATTCTAAATTATACACATGATAAAACGGAATATTTTGACTTCTTTTTCAAGGGTGTATAGTTAGTAAATTTTGGCTTCCTATTTGGAACAATTTTGTCCTTGTCTCCACNACCTTATATACTTTAGCATTTACATATTCCCTTATAAGCCTATTCAATCGTTTTCTCCTATATAGAGAGTATTAGCAAAAATCCATACATGTCTTACATTAATAATGTTCATGAATTCTATATCTAAAACATCATTTTATATTATCTTTCATATAAAGCATTGTCTCTACCATGTGCTGAACTACAAAATTTAGAAAGTAAAATTAAAAAGATGAAGTTAAAGGTATTCAAAGTGGTGCCCTTCGGAAACTAACGTAAAAGAATAAGAGTAATCTTATTTATTCCTAAAAATATGACCTAATTTACTGATCTAAAGATGTGACTTTAGTGAAACCATTGAATAATACCAAATTCTGACTATCGAATTTATATAAAAAAAATTAATTTTCACAAAATGAATTGGAGGAACTGACATGAACGGAAGCAAGTACCAATTTGGTGTTAGCTCAACAAAATCAATCTGGCAAAGACCTGGAGAAAGTAGCCTACCTTATCTTATAGCCACTATCTTGCTTATTCATTGCCCTCACTGAAGGTCACTCAATGTAAAAATTCTTTTTAATCAGTACCGATTGCCAAAATCTTGCTTGGGAAGAACAATATGGTCCAAGTACCCTTTCGATCCACCATGTCTACCTCCTCTCCATACATGGCCGCCTCGATCAAAACCTCTTCCACCATCATCTACACAAATGTTGAAAGCATAACCAGCCAGGTATAAAGTCAAATATC